GGGATATAATGTATAGGCCTGGTGGGTTCAGGGGCTTTCATCTTACATCTGCCTGGGAGCAGTTTGGAGGTGCAAGATACCTGAGCGTGTAATGTTAATTTTACCTGTGATCCTTTGAATAAATCAGCACTGTTTTGTAGTTACTTGGACTGTCTCGTCTCTCAGAGTCAGCAATGGTAACAAGAACCAAAGACCAACACTCCAGACATCATTTAAATTTGAATCATAGTCGCTACACATATCACATAAAGAGTCTGGTTGGCAGGAATAATACAAAGCGAAAAATGAATTGGTATATTACACTGCTGGGGTTGTTTGGCTGTTTTAGCAGTCTGTGTTTTCTTATTTATCCTACTAATGATCACTTGGAACAACATCAGTGAATCAGTGAGATCTCTGCTCAGAGGAGAGAGAGGTGTCTGCTTTTCTAGCCTAATGCACTACCAGTATACGAGTCCAGGCCAGTGTCATCTCTCACCAGGGCTGAAAATGGCCTGTGAAATCAAAGCCTGTTTTACAGGAAGTGTCATCGATGCCATTCTTAATTCATGCACTACTGCCACTGCAGCCATAGTCCCATTTTGATTCTCTACACTTCTCTCTCTCCCTCTTCCTTTGGGATATGGCATGTGCAGCTTCAACAGAGCAGAGGAAACCTAAAACAAAAGGGATTCTATTAAAAGGTGTCAGCCAGCAACCAGATATCAATAACCTCCATGTATGCAGAGCTGAGAGACAACCCCTGGGAATCTGCGGTTTCACTTGGATGTGCGTGTGTGGCTCTGTGTGTATTCCAGCATTTACCCCATGCGTACAGCATACATCTTCATGTATCATGTGTCCTGTATGTGCCATTAAGCATTTTTTATGTTTGATGTGATACCAGATCAGCTAATTATGGCAGTATTTAACCAAACTTAGAGATGTGTTTCAGCCTTTATTTTCTTAATAAGCAGGCTCCAACCCACACATGTGGTTAAAAGTGTTCATCTCAGTTGCTTATGTTTAGAATCATTGATACACTGTACATTGAATGTGATCAGCTAGTGCCGTTATCGTTCATCACTCTAAACCAAACCACTCATCAAATGCTGAAATCCCTCTGTCCCAGAGTGCTCTCTGATTTTGCGGGATGGCTTTATTATGCATGCCAGTCACTGGGAGAATTAGCCCCTATTGACCGGCAACAGCATCATCTGTTTCCTAATTAGCATGAAAAAGGAGTTTTATCACAGACTAGATATTAAAGCAGAGCACACGGCTCTCCTATGGCTAACACATACAGTATTTTGTACTTATAATGTTTACTTTGTCTTTATCTTATTTATGTAATGTAGATTAGAAATGTTTATGTCAGAGGATGTTTGTCTTAACTGCAATCCATTTTTTCATTATAGAAAGAGAAAGTTGAGTTTTGGTTTAAGGAGGTTTGAGTTAAGTGATTGTTAATTCATGTAGCATTGTATTGTATCTCACACAACATTTTTACTCCCACCATACTATACTGCACATATAGAATATCTTGGTTTAACAACAGTAAACAAAACTTTATAGGTGTGGTATCATCAGCAGTAGCCTAGCTCATCAGTTCTGTCTGTTGTTCAATCTGTAGAAGCTGACCTCTGACCTGGCTGGTGTGGAGCAGCAGAAAAAGGTTCTGGAGATGGAAGTAGAGCAATGGAGGCAGATCACGTTCCCCCAGCAAAATGCACCACCACCAACAGCACCAGTAAGCGCAGAGTGCTCCTGCCAGGGCAGAACCATGCCCACCCCAGCTAACCCTGCCCCTGAGGCCCTGGAGGCTGAGATCAAACAACTTCAAGCCAAACTTAAGGTTAGTAGTGATATGCTACGACTGGCACACTGGAGTAAATAGACTGACTTATTGTATACACCTTATGCAACAAATCTCTTAATAAGATTAAAGATTGTGTTGTGAAATCTTGCACTTTTGAGTCGATAACAACATTGACATTTTGAGAGCTTTAATGCAATTTGGCCTAAAAAATCTTTTGTAAAAACAACACTTAGTTTTTGTATGTATGCTGGTACATCAGGCAAGTTTGTGAACACATGTAAGAATATATTATTTCTGAATTTTGCACATTTTAGTTTGAATTTTGTTTTTGTTGCCAATTTGGTACTTACCATGCAGTCCCAAACAGTGTTGGATTACACATACATTTGTTTTTAGTTTAAACAAATTTTCCCTGGTATTTTAACCTTAACTTCAATTCTTCTGAATCACCTCAACATTTCACTGGTTTGAACAGCCCACAGTCCTTGAAGTTTAGAAACTCTGAAGGTTTTACTTTTCAACATGGTGGGTAAAAAAAAAAAAAGACAAATTCCTGAGCCTTTCAGTTTATTAATTGCATGTGATTTTGACATGAATTAGCATCTTTTATCATTTGATCATATTATGGAGTACCTGTCAGAAAGATGTGAAATGGCAGGTAACAGTAGAGACGTGCCCTACATCGTAGGGAATAAGGTGCAAGTGGTACCACAGTATTATCACCCTCCCCACAGCCAACTCATCAGTGTCACCGAGCAGATTGCTACTGTCGTTACACACAGCTGAGGAAGTCATGTCAGGTGACAGCAAAGAGGAGAGGAAAGGGATGTGCTGTGGGGGTGCACACTCTGAGTGAGTGCACTGTCAAAGGCGTGTGCTAGTGCAGCTCCCACGAGAGACACAAGAGCCTTTAAACCAAAGTGAACATGCATGTTCAAATATCCATCAGTCTTATGATCAGAAGTCAACCTGACATCACGGGCCGTATGTGTGTTACTTATAAAGAAAAGAGTCAAGCCAAAAGTGTAGTTTACAAAATTCTCACCAGTGTCTCTAGTTTACATGCAAGGAAAACTTCATCAGATGTTGACAAATGTCCAAATATTCTAATACAATACAGAAAAATAATTAAAATTATCAAAATGTTGGCTGCTGGATTTTTAACTGTGTTGGTAA